AGTCAATAATGACTCCAAGATCCCTTTCCGCCTCTGTGCTTTCAAGAGGGGAGCTCCCCAGCCTGTATGTGTGCTGTGGATTCCTTCTCCCAAGGTGCAGCACCCGGCATTTGTCTACATTGAACCCCATCCTATTCTCATCTGCCCACTTTTGTAGCCTGTCTAAATCTAGTTGCAGCCTCTCTCTCTCTTTGAGTGTGCCCACCTCGCCCCACATCTTAGTGTCAAGAGGGGTTCTTGCTCAAGTCTCCTCTGGCTTTCTCTGCTGGGGCAGGGCTGTGTGGCCCAGAGCAGCCAGGGGGGTGAGGGTGAGTTCAGTGAGGCAGGAGCGCATCCAGGCAGCACGTGGCCAAAGCCGGCAATGGCTCAACCTGTGCAGCTGTGGGCTTTCACCCCACAGCCCCATAGAAACCGGAGAGCCCCATGAGATATAGCTCTATGGAAAAATGGAGCCGCAGAGGTGTAAGCAGAACCCTTTGCCACGCAGGAAATACTCCACATCAGCCTCAGGTGCAGAGATGGTGACCTGGTGTCTCAATGTGGAGCGAGCCCACCTAAAAATGCTGCAGTGCAAGCTGAGAGCTTCCCTTGTAGAGGCTGGATCTGAGCCCAGCTTTGCCCTGCTTGGCCCATGGCTTGAATCACAAATTGCTCTAGAAATACAAAACAGCTTTGAAGTCAGCTGGAGAGCTCCTCCCTGTTTCTGAGCAAAACAGCTTCCTGCTGGCTGGCTCCTGGCTCCTGGCTATGACAGGGCTGGGGGTGGACCGCGCTGCCAGACACCTGGTGCACAACACTTCTTAGGAAACACGCAGTCTGGAGGGGACACAGAGTCCCAGGACACAAAGAGGCTGAGGCCCTGCCCCTGCTCTCAGCACAGCAAGGCACTGATGAGAAGCTGGGCACCAAGCCTGGTGTCTGGAGGAACTGCAGGACTGGGCTTTGGGTCCATTTGGTAGATTCAGCTGTATCTTTGGGGCTTGCAAGTGAGTATTTTTTTCCACTCTGCAGCTTGTTTTACAACTCTGGCCCTGCCCCCTGAGTCTCTGACTTGGCTGAACTGGCAAGTTAATCATTCAAGCTGCACTTTGGTGCCTCCAATGCATCAAGGCCGGGGTGGTGCTGTTATCTAAACACCAGCCTGTGTTGAGCCAGCAGCTTATCATACCTGGGACCTTTCATTCAAGCCCCAGTTACCTTTCTTCTGGGCTGAGCAGTGCTCCTGCATCTTCTCCTGCAGCCAGAAACCACCGTGAGGATGTGGCTGTACCTGGCGGCCCTGCTGGCGTTGTACTTCCTGCGCCGATGGCACCGGGAGCGGCAGATGGTCGAAACACCAGCCTGTGTTGAGCCAGCAGCTTATCATACCTGGGACCTTTCATTCAAGCCCCAGTTACCTTTCTTCTGGGCTGAGCAGTGCTCCTGCATCTTCTCCTGCAGCCAGAAACCACCGTGAGGATGTGGCTGTACCTGGCGGCCCTGCTGGCGTTGTACTTCCTGCGCCGATGGCACCGGGAGCGGCAGATGGTCGGAAACCTCCCGGACAAACACGTCTTCATCACGGGCTGCGACTCCGGCTTCGGGCACCTGCTGGCCAAGCAGCTGGACGGTGCGGGCGGCGTGTCTGACGGAGCAGGGGGCCGAGCGGCTGCGGCAGGCGACGTCGGGGAGGCTGCAGACAGTGATCCTGGATGTCAGCCGCTCCGACAGCATCGCTGCAGCCACTGCCTGGGTGAAGGGGCAGGTGGGGGACCGAGGTGAGCTGGCTCCTGTGCCCCTCCGTGGTTGTGCCCATTCCATGACGCCCATTACTTGCACGTAGGAGTTGACTCTCCTGTTTGGTGCAGCTGGGTGCCCCTGTTCCCGCCAGGACCTGTTCAGGGGTAGAGGAGGATAGGGCTCCTTTGACTACAACAGCTAAGAGAGGAGATGCTGGGTGACGGGGTCCTTCTAATGGCCTGCGAGTTCCCCTGCATTTGACCCCTACCTCCTGGGCTGAGGTGGGAATGCCTGGTTTCACAGGCAAAGTGTTTTCCAGCTGGGGACTGCCCTGGAGCACAGAACGCCCCAGGCCAGCTCTGCTGGGAGCTCTGGGGAAAGGAGGTATGATCCTGGGGGCTTCACTGCCCCAGCCTGCATGGCTCCAAGGAGCAGGCACTCGAGCAATGAAAAACACAGCTGTGTCCAAACCAGACGCCAGCCCTGGGGACCTCCATATAGACGGACTGTGACAGCACAGGGAGTTGAATCCAGGTCCCCCAGGCCCCAGTAGGAGCAGTGGTGTCAGCTAGAATGTGCCCACAGGAGCTTTCCAAGGTCTTACCTGGGACCGCTCACGGTGCCCAGCCCTGGGGTGCTCTCCATCCATCCCTTAGCTGCCGGGGGGGTGCCCATCCAGCCAGGATAGGATGGGACGTGGAGGCTGAGATGTGGGTTACAGGGCAGAGGGGATGGAAACAGGCCTGGGCAGATGGAATATACACTCCTCCACTGCTCCCCTGTGCCCAGGGCTCTGGGGCGTGGTGAACAACGCTGGGATCTCCATGCCCGTGGCCCCCAACGAGTGGCTGAGCAAGGCTGACTTTGTCAAGATACTGGACGTGAACCTGGTGGGGCCGATCGAGGTGACGCTGAGCCTGCTGCCCCTGGTGCGCAGAGCCCGGGGCCGCGTCGTCAACGTGGCCAGCGTGATGGGCCGGCTGTCTTTCTTTGGAGGGGGCTACTGCCCTTCCAAGTATGGCGTGGAAGCCTTCTCCGACAGTTTGCGGTGAGTGCTTGTTAACGCAGCCTCAGCTGCAGTCTGGTGCTCTGATGAGAGAGAGGAACTTTGTCCAGAGGGTGGAGAGGACAAAGGCCAGAGCCCGCAGTCCCATTGCACTAGTGTGTGCCAGCAAAAGGATATGTACAGTCAAGTACTTGTTGCAGTGAGTAACCAAACTCTGGCATGGGTTCGTTCACCCATGTAACTCAGAGCTTTGCTTCTAGCCCTGCTGCCCTGGTTTTTCCTTCCCGTTGGTGGATACTGCCAAGCTCAGGCTGCCACAGGCTGGAGTGGATACTCCTAGTTCCCTGCAGCTTCCTGCCATTGGGGGAGGCACATTAAACAACGCTTAGCAGAGATGTCTTTTCTCCTTCCCCGGCAGTCATGGTGCGTAGGATGCAGCCCCACGCTGCTGGCCACGGTCAGCTTAGCTTGAATCCATTTTTAAGCCAGTCCAGGTGGAGTGCTGCAGCTGCCAGGCTGCAAGACTTCAGGTTAGACCCTCGTTCCCTGAAACCAACTCCAGGTTAGCCATGCCACTCTTGGCTTAAATTCATGCCTAAGCAGCTAGGAATCAGCATCTGAAAGGGCATCTCCAGGCTCAAGAGGATACAGAGGGAAAGAAGTGCCCTTCCCTTCATCAGCGCTGCCCCCATGGGCTGATTGCCTGGGCTGAGGCCAGGAATGGTGCCTCAGCATGGCAGCTGGCTGCTGGCAGGCCGTCCTGGAGCACTGCGGGGCAGAGGCAGCACCAGCCAGATCAGCCAGCAACCGGCACGGTGCAGACCAAGGATCCTTTACACAGGGGTAGGGATGACACCAAGAAAGAGCCCTTTTGCCTGCCACTGCAGTAGCTCCCAGCACTACCCAGTACCCGTGATGAGAAGGACAGCCATTCAAACTGGGACAGAGCAGGTACCTGGAGCCTTTGCCTCTGCTGAGGCCTCCCCAAAGAACTCGCCCGAATGCAGTGAGTGCCTGGCGTTAGCGCCTGCCAGCCCCATGCCCACCTGCCTGGGGCAGGTGGAAGAGACTGCTCTGTGCCTGGGCATTTGGGGACTCCCAGGACAGGGAGAGCTGTTGTGTCCCCTGGTGCGGGGTGGGAGAGCTAATCCCAGCTCCTCCCATTCCAGTCGCGAGATGCTGCCTTTTGGGGTGAAGGTCTGCATGATTGAGCCAGGCTACTTCCGCACGGCTATCACCGAGGCCGGCATCCTGACGGAGAATTTCAAACGCCTCTGGGAGCTGCTCCCGCAGGAGATCAAGGCAACCTACGGGGAGCAGTACTTAGAGTCGTGTGAGTATCCTGCCTCCCGTGCCCTCCCAGCCCAGCCCTGCTTTCCACTCCCCTTTCTCAGAGCTGCTGGCCATTGGGCCAGAGACAGCCCACACTGCCGGCCTTGTTCCCCATGGCTCTGTACAGCCAGCGCCCAGGGCAGCCGCAGTGGTAGCTCCTCACCCTCTGCCTCCTTCAATGCTGCTTGAGCAGGGGAGAAGCCCAGCACTGACCCCTTGGCTTTGCCCACGCAGTTATCAAGGCAACCTATGACATGCAGAAGTCCTGCAGCCCCAACCTGTCACTGGTCACCAACGCCATGGAGCACGCGCTGACGGCCCAGCACCCCCGCACCCGCTACTCCTGCGGCTGGGACGCCAAGCTCTTCTACCTCCCGCTCAGCTACCTGCCCACAACGTTTACGGACCTGGTGCTAACGTGGTCATATCCGAAGCCAGCCCAAAAAGCATAGGAAGAGACATGCGACTGGAATCCAGTGGGTGGAGGGCACTGGATGAGCCATCAGCCTGGGGCAGGCCAGGGTGCAGCCTGGTGTGGGGTCGGGCCTGCTTCGCAGCCTCTGCAGCTGCTGTCAATTGAACAAGCTGAATCAAAGCATTGTCTCCACAGCTCCTTCTGGTCACACGGGAGTTTGTTTCCTGCCTGCGCCCAGGGACTGAGTCTCCTCACCCCACAACCAAACTGCCTCCCACCTTGAACCTACGCCTATCTAGCTGGGTCCCAGCCGCATTTGCAGCTCTGGGCATCCTTCTGGGCCACCTGCCATCAGCTCAGCCACCTTAGTCGTAACGGCTGATGTTGGACTAAGCAAGCTGGCAGGTCCAGACACTAGAAATAACTAATTAGGGAAAACCCTGGGTTAATCTTTGTGCACTGGATGCTATGGACACCAGAACAGGGCAGGGCCTGTCCAAAAAAGCAAGATGCAACAGGCAGTGGGTAGGCAGGAAGGAGTTTCAAACCAAAGGGACCAGGTCCAGTTCTGAGCCAGTGGGTCACGGTGTCGCGATACAGGAGAGAGGGCACATGTTACACCTCAGCAAGGGTCAATCTGTCAAGCCCCGTGGTTGCCAGGTGGCAGCGTCACCCCGTCAGGGTCTGATTACAGACAATGCAATGTCATGCAACTGCCCTGCGATGACTGGACAGTGCTTCTCTGGAGCCAGTGACAAGTGGACTACTCCTTGGCTTGACACCTTCAATTGAACGGGAACCCCAAAGGGGAGAAGGATTTTGGTACAGGGGAAAGCAACCCCCCGTCTGTAAAGGGTAAAATTCCTTCCTGACCCCAAATGTGGCCCTGAACAAAGGGGCAAGACCCTGTAGCCAGGACCTTCAAATATTAAGTCCCAGCAAGAGCAATGGCACAGCCCAGTTGCCATCCCCGGCCTGGACTGAAGCCAATACCCATTGCTTAAAACCCCCCGTGAGACAGGCAACAAAAAGTGGGGATGGGAGCCGCCAGCAGAGCCCAGAAGCTTGGTGAATCCCAATAGCAGAGCCGAGGCATCGCTACACCTAGACCATCCCTGCCCAGCCGCTCCTTGAACACCTCCAGCAATGGAGAGTCCCTGCTTCCCCGGACGGCTCTCTCACTGCCTCTGTTCTAGCAGTGAAGAAGTTTGTCCTGAGATCCAACCCACACCTATGTTGCTGCAACTTCAAGCCATTAGTTCTTTATGCAGTTATTTCTCTAACACCCCCCTCTGGCCTGGGCCGCACCCCCCACCTCTGAACCCAGGCACCACTGTCTGAATGCAGAGGTGCGTTTGTACCCCCTCACATTGCCGCGGTGGCTGCGTGCCACCAGCGCTCCTCTTTCTGGGATAACTGGTCTCCAGGCTGCTTAGGACCGAGCCAACCTTCAGCCCTGGAGGTTAACGAGCCAATGCCGCAGGTTCATCAAGGAACACCAATGCTTGCAAGGGGCAAATATTTGCAAAATTTCCTGTTACGTAATGACCAGCATTTCACAAGGTTGGTTTTGTCACAGCAAGAGTTTGTGGGTCATGCCGAGGTGCCCATAGCTGTTGCCTTTCCCCTCGGAGAACGGCTCCGGGAGCCCATCTTCACTCCCTCCTTGTGCTCCAGACCCTGTTATCCACGTTTTAGCTTGTGGAAATAAGCTGCGACTGGGGCACCAGCGCCAGAGGCTTCCGAGCGGTGGGGAAAGGGAAACCAGACCCAGCGAGATTAGCCCTGGGGATCTGATGTGGAAGCAGGGAGAGAATTAACAAGCGGAGCAGCTGAGGCTGGGGAACTCCCCTGGCTGCATTAGTAGCTTCAGGTGCAAACCACTAAAAACAAGAAAGCTTTTTCTGTATGGGGGCAGAGGGCAAAGGGCTGGGATGGGTCCCAATTAGCCATATTAACATCTGGTCAGGTCAAACAAACAAGGTCACTGCTGCTCCCCCAAGTGGCTTGTGGGAAACTGAGGCACTTGGCGGGGAAGGGACTTACCAGGCGCCATCCAGCCCCAAATTTCCCTTGTGCTGCAGTCCTGCATGGACCCTCCAACCTGCTGGCTGGAACCAGCTCTGTCGGACGTGGGGGAAAGGGAATGCCCAGGTCCATGGAGGCTGCTCCCTGCGGCCTGGTTCTGAGAAGAAGCACTGTGTTATTTCAAATTTTGGACTAGGAAGTGCTCTCAGGGAAGCCTCCCTCTCCCCCTGGCCACATCCCAGGCCTGCACCTGTCCTTGGCAGGAAACCGTTCCTTCTGCTCTGCTCCTCTCTGTGCCCCAAGCCTTGCGGAGGGCGCTAGGCTGTGCAGGAGGGCCTGTGCCCCCCCCATGTTGAATGCTTCCCTGGGGGCCTGTCGTACTCTCTTCACAGCCCCCCTGAGCAGGGTTGTCTTGGGCAAGCCACTGCCCTCCCTGTGGCCATGAGGGAGCGAGGGCAGAGGGGCAGTGCTTAGCTGGCAGAGCTCAGCTGCCTCTAGCCCTGCTGCCAGCAGCAAAGGGAGCCCCCGACACAACCCCCGAGACTGGGCCTGCAAGGACCACTGCCTCCATCTCGTCCCCTCTGCTGAGGGAAATGGGCTGCTGAGAGAAGAAAAGAAGAATAGGGAGGCAGGAAGGGGCCCGTTGGCCCCACTGCGCATGTCCTCCTCCTGCTCCACTCCATCCCCAACCTGTCTTTTATACAGCCACAAGGTCCCCTTTTGACTGGTGCATAATTTGAATCCTGGACAATGGTGGCTGGTTGTTGCAATGGTGGAAAACCAGGTGTTTCTAACCAGGGGTCATAGCACGCAGGTCCCCAAAGCTCGGCCCTCTCCTGGGACGCTCTAAGGTGCTGTCGGGCCACCCAAATGGATAACCTCAACATGGTGAGCGCCTGGCCAGCCCCTGCCAGTGCGACGGGGGAGCAGTGCAACCCCTGGCATTGCCCCAGGCCTCACTGGGAACCATCATCGTTGCAACGTGAGCGGTATGGACCAGGAAGGGTGGCCCAAATGGGAACTGGCGGGTGAGAGTCACGAGATGCCTGCCAAAGGCTGCGATCTGCTGATAAAGAGCTCTCCCACGTTGAGTCACTCTGCAGTTACCCAAGCTCTGGCTTTGGCAGTGCTCTTGCCTCTCCTACAGTCGGAAGCCACTCACAAGGATGTGGCTGTACCTGGCGGCCCTGCTGGCGCTGTACTTCCTGCGCCGATGGCACCGGGAGTGGCAGACAGTCGGGAACCTCCCGGACAAACACGTCTTCATCACGGGCTGTGACTCCGGCTTCGGGCACCTGCTGGCCAAGCAGCTGGACGGGCGGGGGCTGTGGGTGCTGGCGGCGTGTCGCGGGGTGTCTGACGGAGCAGGTGGCGGAGCGGCTGCGGCAGGCGACGTCGGGGAGGCTGCAGACGGTGATCCTGGATGTCACCTGCTCCGACAGCATTGCCGCAGCCACTGCCTGGGTGAAGGAGCAGGTGGGGGACCGAGGTGAGGCCTGGTGCTGTCCTGTGCTCCATGCAGGGGTCTAGTTCTGGGCTGGTCCCTGTCCAGCTGAGCCCTGATCCAGGCTCTGTGGCCCTGGCAGAGGCTACAGCTGTGGAAGGAGCTGGGAAGGGGGTTACCAGGTCCCAAAAGAGGATACTAGTATTGGAGAGTGATGTTCCCTGGAAGGAGGGTGGGTGGCTGGGTGCGTGTCAGCACAGCTGGGGAGGAGGGTGGCCTGGGCCTGGCCCCTCTGAATCCTCCTAGGGAGACAGGGCAATGGGCCAGGCCACCTTGTCAGACCCAAGGCCCTGGCCGCCCAGCTGCACTCACCCCCAAGACCCCGGCTGGGTTTGCTGAACTGAGAGGGCAGCTCAGCTGCATCCTCGTGCCCAGCTTTGCTGCTCCTCTCCACCTACTCTGTCTCCGGCTGCCCCTGGATGCAGTCCCATCCGTCTCACGGCAAAGCAGGAGGCAGGGACCAAGCAGCAGGTAATGCCTACCGAGCAGGATTTGTAGCAGAAGTGCAGGACTCTAGAAAGCGCACAAAAAAGAGGCTAGCCAGGCCTGACTGGCTGGGACGGTGGTTGCAAGGGAAACCGCGGAAGGTTTTAGTGGCTCAAGCCAGCCTCACTCTCCTGGAGGCCTGGACCAGGCACGGCAGTTCTAGCAGTCTCACAGACAAGAAGTGTGATATCTTTTTATTGGCTGAGAAATCCAATTTTTCACACTTTCCAGCAAAGATGTTCACTTAGCTCCACTCACAAGTGCAGGGGAACAACCAAGCCACGGATGGAGCCCCCCAGAGCTCTCACAGTCTCCCCTCCCCAGGGCTCTGGGGCTTGGTGAACAACGCTGGCATCGCGACCCCCACTGCCCCCAGCGAGTGGCTGAGCAAGGCTGACTTCGTCAGGGTGCTGGACGTGAACCTGGTGGGGCCGATCGAGGTGACGCTGAGCCTGCTGCCCCTGGTGCGCAGAGCCCGGGGCCGCGTCGTCAACATGGCCAGCGTCCTGGGCAGAGTGCCAGGCATGGGAGGCGGCTACTGCCCTGCCAAGTACGGCGTGGAGGCCTTCTCCGACAGCCTGAGGTACCCAGATGCGTCCCCTGTCCTTTTGTTTCCTCGGCCCAAGGCTTTCACCTGCTGCTTCGCCTGCTCTCTTTGCTTGGCCTTTGTGCGGCATGAATCACTCATCAGCTCCCCGATTTGCATACGTGCGCTGCATACAAAGGACGGAGCTCCTTCGCTCATGGGCAGCCGCCGCCATGGAGAGGGCCGCACTATCACGTACCATCAGATTATAGAATTGCAGAGAATCAGAGCCGGCAGCAAGCTCCAGAGGTCACACCAAGTCCGACCCCCTGCCCGAGGCAGGATCAGTCCTGTCCATACGAATCTCTTATCCAACCTCTTAGCAAAATGATCGTCAACCCTAACACAACCCCAGACACCCGAACCTGCCACAGGGTAAGCAGGCGGACCGTGGCAGCCTGCTGCTGCAAAGGGTGTCGATATATGCTTGAGAGACCCCAGGGGGAGGCTGTGGCCCTGCTGCAGAGGAAGACAGACCCCTTCGACCAGGAGGTAAAATTCCTTCCCGACTCCAAATCTGACCCTGAGCAGAGCAGCAAGACCCTCTAGCCAGGTTTGCCTTCCAGCAAGAGCGCCGGCACAGCCCAGTGGCCATCCCCAGCCTGGGCTACAGCCAACACCCAGGGCCTCCGAGGGGGACGGGTATTGAAGGAGGCTCCAGTTCAGCCTGTAAAGGAGCCTTGGGGTCACCCTGCCGGTTCCATTCCAGGCGCGAGCTCCACTGTTTCGGGGTCAAGGTCTCCATCATCGAGCCAGGTGCTTTTCAGACATCACTTGTCAGTCCCCAGAGCCTGCAGCAGAGCCTGGAGCAGGTGTGGAGCCGCGTCCCCGCTGATGTCAGAGAGGCGTATGGGCAGCAGTACTTTGACCACTGTGAGTCTGAGGGGCAGGTCCTTGGCACTGGGGTGCCAATGGGATGATGCCAGAGGCATCCCATGGGGGGGATCAGTGCTGGGTGAGGGCAGGGAGCAGCCTGGGGAAGGGTGTCTGGTGGAAACCCTAGCCCTATGGGGACCAAGCCCAGCCGCAGCAGTGGGAGCAACGCCAGAGCCCCCAGCCAACCCTGGGTACCCACTGCCCACGCAGCATCCCGTGACACGCAGAGCTGTGTTCATGTTGCCATGCGTGTGCACACGGGCTGTGCCGCTGCTGCCCTCTGCGGGGCAGAGTTGGGATGACGCAGCCATGTGTGTGGCCTCAGCCCTGCCCTGCCCAAGCTGCCAGCCCAGCCCAGCCCAGCCCAGCCTCTGTCCCTGCTGCTGTGACGGTGCCCAGACTGTTCCAGGGCTCCCCTCTCCCCCGTGCTTCTTGCCCCAGCCTGGCCAGGCTGCTCACTGCTGGACTTTCCTCTGCACAGACCAAAAGGTTATGCAGAGGTTCTTCCGCTCGGCCAGCCACAACCTCCGCCTGGTCACCGACGCCATGGAGCATGCGCTGACAGCCCGGCACCCCCGCACCCGCTACTCCTGCGGCTGGGACGCCAAGCTCTTCTACCTCCCTGTCCCCTATCTGCCGGCCTCGTGGGCAGACTTCCTGCTGCCCCGCAGTATGACCAAGCCTGCCCAGGGCATCAAGGCAGCGAAGTCCCTGTGAGCCAGGAGCTGCAGTGAAGATGCCTTGGTTGGAACGGGAGTGTCTTTGTGCCAGGCACGTGATGCTCAAAGTCTCCTCACTGGCTTCCACATGACCACAGCGGAGGCTTGGCTCTGAGAGCGAGGAAGCCACAGATGGCAGCCCTGTACCCCTCTCTTATCCTTTAAAATCCAGCTGCTTGAAGTAGCCAGGGGTCTTTACATCTCATGCACTTCAGCCCCTTGGATGCTGCTGATGGCACGAGCCTGTCAGCACTGGGTCTACTGTCTGTACAGCTGTGTCTCCCAGTCTCAGGTACTTAGCTACATGCTCCTGTCTAGCTTCTCAGTGAAAAGCCATATGTCGCCAGGAAGGAAAAATATGTATACGGGGCTTTGGGATGAAAAATAAAGTAGCAAAGCTCCTAGCTTCCCTGGAGTTCCTGTGGTTGAACTGGGCTGACGTGGGGGGTGGGGGGAGGGATTCAGGTATAAATCACCATTATAACATCAAAGGGATCCCAGAAACATGCATATCTATATATAAATTCAAAGCAGAGTCTGGATCCTTTTGGGTTTGGGTGTTGTCACTCCTTTACCCCCTTGCGTCTCAGCTTTCCCCAGTCACCTCCGGTCTCACCTGCCAAGCTCCCACATCTTTGAGAGGAAGGAAAGCCATAACATTTGGGCTTCCAGGTGACCTGTATCTGCAGCCCCTCCAGAACCACAGGGACAAAAGCTTAATGGAGCAGCTTAAGCCCTCCTGTAACTCCCAGCTGCACTAGTGCTTTTCTGGAGAAGGTATCCCAGGCTGGTCCCATGGGGTGTAAGAGGGTCTGGCTCTCACCTGGGCTCTGGTTGGCAGGACCCAGGCAGTCTGTCACACAGCTCTGGCTGGAAGGGATTCAGGCAGCTGAATCCGGGCGAGTTCCACCTCTTCCAGCATCCGAGGGAGTTGGAAACACAGATGAATTCCTGCCTCAAGGCAGCAGCTTTGTGCTTCCCAGGACAGTCCCAGGGAAGCTGCGGTACGTTGGCAAGACCCTAGGAAGGAGGTTTAAAGCACTAGCTCAGTGTTGCACTCTCCTGCCAGGGGCTTGGAGAGAGGAGCTGGAGCTCAGCGAGCCCAGGATGGGACTTCAGCTCTGGCTTATGGGGGCGGAGGCAGAAACTCCATGCCAGTGGCTAATGAAGAGCTCAGATGGGCCACATCAGGTTTGGGAGTGTGGGTGGGCTTCATAGAGGGCTGCTTGGAGCCCTGGGACGTCTCCCATAGAGGCTGAGTCACCCTTGCAGCGAGGAAAGCTGAAATTCCCTGGTTGGCAGCTGGGCTGGGAAGGGCCCACCCCTTTTCCACAGTGCCAAGGGTGCTCTTTACCTAGCCAGGTGCCTTAAACAGGACCTGAATGAGATAGGAGATGGGGAGAAACCAGCCATGCCACTGGTGCCACCTCGACAGATCCCACCTGCTGCCAGGCAAAGCCTGCACCATGGACTTGGTGATGACGCTGCGATGGCTCCAGCAGTGGCCACAGCAGGGGGCAGGGGCTGGGAGTGTGGACGTGTGCAGGGATGTTGCCAGGGGTCTGCGGGCAACGGGCAGCTCTGGTCTGGTCTCTGCTTCCCCATGGCCTTGGGGGACCCTGATCAGCCTGTGTCCCTAGGGGAATTCAGAGGGGCCCTGCCCACCCCGACCCCGACCAGGCCTGCGGGCGCAGTCCTGTCCCTGCCAGGGGCAGCTGCTGGACCTTCCTGCCCTGAGCCCAGGGAGCTTCTAGCTGGAGCAGGGCAGGGCTGAGGCCATGCATATGGCTGCACCATCCCCACTCTGCCCCGCAGAGGGCAGCAGTGGCACAGCCCAAGTGTGCACAGATGGCAGCGTGAACATGGCCCTGGGTGTCACAGGATACTGCATGGACAGAGGGCACCGAGCTGGGCTGGGGGGTCTGGTGCTCTCCTATTGCTGTGGCTGAGCTCAGTGCCCACAGGGCTAGGGCCTGCAGCAGAAACCCACTCCCCAGGCTGCTCCCTGCCCTCTCCAGGCAACAATCCCCCCATGGGGTCACATCCTCTGACATCATCCCATTGGCACCCTGGGGCCGGGGACCTGCCCTGTGGACTCACAGTGGCTGAAGTACTGCTGCCTGTAAGTCTCTGGGGAGGGGCACATGGCCCCGCACCTGCTCCTGGCTTTTCTGCATACACTGGGCACCTCGGAAGCTGCCTGGCTCAACGATGGAGATCTTGACCTTGAAGTCTTGGAGCTTGCACCTGGAACAGAATTGGCAGGGTGAACCTGGGGCGTGAGCACGGTCTTGGGCTGAGCCATGGGCCCACCACACACCCCTCCCAAGCACCCAGCTTTCCCAAGGCCCACCCCCCACCAGGACATCTGTGTCACTGGGTTCCTACCTGCCAGGCAGTCTGGACCCAGCTCAGAGCCGTGCACTCTCCTGCAGGCACCTGCACAGTATAGGGCGCAGGAGGTCAGTGGTGGCTGCTGGGCTGGGCTGAGACTCAGGAGAAGCCGGGGTAGAGAAGCTGGGGTAGAGGGTCCCGTGCTCCAGGCCTTGCAGGGGGTTCATGCGTGCAGCCCTTTCCCGCCCGGGCTCTGGCACCCCTGCTGAGCTGTGGAAATTGAGAGATGCGGGAAGACAATAGGAGGAAGATCATTAGTGCAAAGCGAAGCAAGATCCATGCTGGAGCCAGGAAGCTCAGCTCAGACTGTTTGAGGAAGGGGCACAGGAGAGAGATGGAGGTTGAGGCTGGGGCTGAGGCTGGGGCCAGGGCCAACTGTTGGGGGCTGCAGGGGGCTCTGGGCCTGCTGGCTGCCAGGAGCAGGTAGGCACAGGGGGGCTGCGGGTCCAAAGACAGGGAGCAAGGAGTGAGCCCGGTGCTGGGCCGTGCCCCTCTGACCCAAAGTGCTGACTCGGTTGGGAGGGCAAGGTCAGGCTCCCCCGGTCCTTATCAGCCTTCCCTTCTTGCCTTCCTGCAGGCCGAGCCCGTGACCCCCGCGCCTGGGGCCACAGGAGCTTTCCGGAGAGGAAACCGCCCTTCCCACTTATCACTTGCAAACACTGAGTGCCCAGCTCCGAAGGCCACGGGGTGGGATGTCTCCCCCCAGGACGGGCAGCTCGGAGCGGTCTCCCCAGGACCAGATGGGACCCCAAGCACAGCTGAGCCGAGACCTCCCCACAACACAACCCGCCCCCCTCCGCCCCCATGGCTGGGGTGTCAGGTTTTAACCCCCTTCCAGCCCTTTAACCCCACTCAGGCCCATGGGGGTTGTGGAGGTGGGTGCAGCCTGGAGCAGGGGAGAGGGGCAAGGAGCAAGGATTCCCAGGTTCCTCTGCATGGCAGGACTCAGGCTACCTGGGGCAGTGTGTTGCATGGCTCCCTGCCTCAGTTTCCCCTCAGGGGCTTCCCAGCCTGGCGGGTGGGGAAGAGAGCCAGTGCGGGCACAGCAAAATGGGTCAAGGAACACGGTGGCATGGCCGGGAACTGCCTCTCTGGTGGAGGAACAAAGGGTTCCTGTTTGCAGCCGGGCTGGCCCTGATCCGCAGGCCACAGTGCTGCGATGGTCCCAGCTCTTGGCACGTCCCTCCCAGCGGGGCCTTCCTTCCGTGTGGGCGCCACTCCCGCTGTCTTGTCTGTGCTCGGAAAGGAGATTTCCAGGAATTGTTTTGGGGCCTCTGTGAACCGTGTTCTCTTGCCCCGGGGCCCGGACCCCCCCTCCACCACCCTCTTCCCTCCAAACTGCAGAGCCAGCAGGTCCGAGTGACTGGTGGCTGCTGCTTCCCTCCTGGCACTGGCGCTGGTTCTCCAGGCTGCGCCAGGACCCCATTCCACAGACAAAGCTCCCAGGCGCTACAAGGTTGAGGCAGGCCTGGCTGGGGGCAGCGTAGCACCCCTCTCCCTTGCATGTCCAGAGAGGCGGTGCCTTGTCCCACCCCAGAGGTAGCTGCATTAGGGTGACATAGGGCTCTCTGGAGGTGCTGATGGCATATGAAAGTCCCTGGGAGGATGGGAAAAAGCCTTGAGCACACACCCCTAGACTGGATCTCCATAAGTGGGGGAGGCAGGAGCAGGGACATCCAAGGACTCCAGGAGCTGGGTTTTTTTGCCCACTTGGAGCCATCCTACCTCAGCCTGGAGCCAGTGGCTGCCTGCCACCCAGCTGGCTTCCTCCTACATGGCAAAAAGCCCCTTCCAGCGGGGTGGGGGAGGCCTGAGCCTGGGGTACAGAGATGCCCACGTGCCAGCAGGGCTGTCAGAAGAGACCTTTAATAGTGAAATACACAGGGCTGTGATGGGGGGGGCAGCCGGGTCTCGTAGGAAGGGGGGTCAGAGCTCTGATTGGGGACTGCTTGTCCAGGGAGCCAGGGAGGGGGGCTGGAGATCAAGGGCTGGGTGCCAGCTCCACTCTCCCCCAGTCCCACCCCAGGGATCCCCAGCTCAGAGCAAGCACCTGCCCTGGCCCCGCCTGCAGCGTGGTGAACCCCGGCTGGGGCAGGATGTCAGGCTGGGCTGTGCATTTCCTGCCAAGAGGAGGCAGCCGGCCCCCCGCGGTCCCTGCACCAGACACCAGCCCCAGCCACCGCCGGGACCAGCCACTGCCGCAACTCTTTCGTGCAGCCTGGTGAGAACCCCCCATGCCAGCCCCAGGACTCCTGGGGCAGCAATGCTGGCCCCCACCCTGCAACACCCAGTGCCTCCTCTGCAGGGATCGCTGCCTTTGCCCCCAGGGAGGCTCCATCCCAGGGCAATCTGGATCCCAGGGCAGTGGCTGCGGCTCAGAGTGCATCCACTGCGAGCCATCACAGAGCTCCGGAGACTGCCCCCGGGCTAGGAGCTCCTCTCCCTCGGGTTCATGCCCCAAGCACTGGAGCTGCTGCTGGTTCCCGGGGCAAGCGTGGCTGGCAGCAGGGTCTGGCTGAGCTCCTTGCTGGGCCTGGCTGGCAGTGCTTCATCCCTGTTCCTCCCCAGCCCTGCAAGGTGCCTGGGGTGTCTCCATGCAGCAACCTGGAGTCTCCCAGGAGAAGTCAGGCTCCATCCAGGGACCTGTCCTTCCTCCTAGCTTTGCCCATATATAGACCCCCCCCACCCAGGCAGACCTGCAGTGTGCTGGAGGCAGCAGGGGGGGGTTGCTGGGGGGCGTGGAGGGGGG